GGGTATCAAGTCATGTGGGAAGTTTGTCGAAACCTTGGGTTATGCAACCCAGGGAAGAGTACCTTCTATTGTCTATTACGGGGGAAGGGGGGCTTATGGAATGCCATCACCACAGCTGCTAGCAGGTCGATGGCCAGCGTGCGTGAAAGCCTATCGCAGCGCTTGGGCGGCGCGGGATTCATCAGTGTCGATGGGAGATGGTCCCAGGCACGGAAAGCGGAGTGGTGCACCGTGTCATTTCTGCATCCAGAGTGTCGGAAGATTCTCCATGTTGAAAACACTAAAAAGTGGGAGCACGACCCTTTCTCTCCCAAGTTAGAGGGAATCGCCTTCAATAACGGCATGGACTTCCTAGCCAAGACCGGGTTTGAGATGGAGGGTATCGTGACTGATGAGAGTGGGACTTTCCGGACCGCCGCAGCAGAGAGAGGGGTTCCGCACCAAGTCGATTGGTGGCATAAGCGGCATTCGGTGTCGAGGTGTTTTGAGGTCGAGGTGCAGGACTTGCTCAGGCCAGTGGTTGCAATCGCTGACGCCAAGGTCGTGGAAGATCTACACGCGCACACGGTGTCCAAACTCCGCGCATGGCTGCTTGACAAAGCACCTGAACAGGTCCGTGGGACGGTTTGGAAAGAAGGGCAGCGGTGTGCATGGTGCTCCATGTCGAGTATTGTGTAGTGAAGCCCGCAGATGCAAAATACATGCGCCCAGAGTTGCGCCAATTGGTGAGTGCAAGGGGGGGGGGGAGGGGCAACACAGGAGATCGAAGGGGAGGACGGCACGGACACAGAGACGGTGGATGTGCCAGTGCTGTTCTCGGTGATACACTCCATACGGGACAACACTGATCCCGTATCACGAGATGGACCGCAGGCGGAGGGGGAGTGTGTGGAGGGGTCAGCCGAGGGTTCGATGTCGGTGGATGTGCGCTGGGCAGACGTGGCTGAGTTGTGGAGCTATGACATCCACCCCCGGCACGGTTTTCGCCCGTCCTCAGAAGCATCACTCGTGGTTGCTGTCGCATGTAGTGGCGGTCGAGAAGAGCGTGATTTCATGGGTCATTGCTTCAATTCGGCACCGGAATCAACCCCCTCAACAGGTAGCCGAGCTTGCATAGTTCTGGTAACCCCCACCTGTCGTGTTTTGGCATGTATGTTTCTAGCATCTTTTTTACACTTTACATATTCTATGGTTGTGTAGGCCCTGCTACCACCTTGAGCACAAAGAAACGGCGATGGTCAGCGTGCAGTGCGAAAAAACGTACCTCCAATCTGGAGCGCGGGGCGGGTCAGCCCGGGAAAAGGGTCAGTACAAAATTCCTCGAGTTCACCGTCGCGCAGCGACTTCAAACGCATTTTAGGCATGTCATTCTGCGGTGTGCTGCAAGTGTGGCCAATGGCACGCCCATGACCCAGGAGGAGGTGTCAGGGGAGTTGGGTTGTGCAGCGGATCATTGGGCAGGGGATCATTCCCGCTGCCAGCACCCGGGAACGACTCCACCCCGCTGTATTTCCGAGGGGTGGGGAGAGGAGAGTGCTATTTATGCAAAGGGGTCAGCAGCACACAAGGCAGTGTCCGCGTGGTTCGAGAAGAGGCTAGGGCCAGCACAGGTGGCGCCTTTCATCCGAGGAGCGAACAGCTCACTCAATGAATCATTTCATTCGTTGGTGTGCAAGTATGCTCCGAAACGGTTGCGGTTTCGTGTTAGTATGGTGGCACGAGTTGCATTAGCAGTTTTTCACTGGAACAGTTGTGTGGACCGCCTCGTGAAGGGGTATCGCATACGGGTGAGGCGAGCGACACGGGTTCAACGGGGCTCGGTGGTTCGTATCTTGGGGCCCATGGATTGGTCTTGGGTAGAAGAGATCATGCAGCAGTGGTTGCGGGCGGATGAGGAGGACCCTGAGGAGGACCCTGAGGAGGCTGACAACGGGGTGGAGGAGGGCAGAGATGAGGCAGCCGGGGATAACTGTCTCACCGAGAACATCCGGGTGGTGCGCCCATGCACCGTTGCTGGACCAGCCGCCTCTGGTGACTCGACGCCTATGAGAGATCTTACGCTGCATTTCAAGCCCGGCTGCATTGACTCCCTCAGATGCGGCAGTGGTATCACAGGGGTTGGCACCCCTACGCCCATCCGAAGAGATGCGCCAGCCCGACGACTCCTCATTGGTTGGTCGAGTGTACCTTTATCGTGTTCTGTTTGCCATGCATTTTGCTGCACCATCACACTTCCTCCCATGCACGTCCGCACCTTTGCCACCATTGCGCCCAACCATTCGAGAGTCTAGGATTGTTCTCCAAACGGCTACACCTAATGCACAATGCCCACTTCCACATGCCCCATGCACAGGGATTGCCGAAGTGCGCTGAATGGTGCGATGCCACCGGGTCACCGTTGCGCCACCATGGCTGATTCAACCCCTGCAGTGGTTGCCACCGGTAAGTAGTAGCCTTGCTACCAAATGCGCTTGCCTAGATGGAGGGCGGGGTGTAGCAGAGACGGGAAAAGGAAAGGGCGGGAAAACTGACGGGTGGAATGCCAAGTGGGGGGGTGGGAAAGCTGGGAGGAAGAAAGTTGGGAGAGGTTGAGCTAAGAGGGGGAAAGCTGAGTGGGGCAAAGATGGGAAAAGGAGAACTGAGAGGAGGAAAGTAGAGAGGGGGTGAGCTGAGAGGGGGAGAGCGGAGAGGGGGAAAGCTGAGAGGGGGGAAGCTGAGAGGGGGGAAGCTGAGAGGGGGGAAGCTGCGAGGGGGGGAGCTGAGAGTGGGAGAGCTGAGAGGGTATTGCTGAGAGGGGAAAGCTGAGTGGGTGAAAGCTGAGAGGCGGAAAGCTAAGAGGGGGAAAGCTAAGAGGGTGAAAGATGCGAGGGGGAAAGATGAGAGGGGGAAAGATGAGAGGGGGAAAGATGAGAGGGGGAAAGATGAGAGGGGGACAACAGAGAGTGGGTGAGCCGAGAGTGGGAGAGCTGAGAGGGTGAAAGCTGCGAGGGGGTAAGCTGCGAGGGGGTGAGCTAGGAGGGGGGGAGCTAGGAGGGTGAGAGCTAGGAGGGGGAGTGCTGTGTGGTGGAGCATAGATGGGCAGGGGAGAGCTAAGAGATGGTGAAGACTGCTTTGGGAGAAGCACAGCGGGGGTATTGCTGAGAGGGGGTGTGCTAAGAAGGGGAGAGCTGGGTGGGGCAACGTTGGGTAGGGTAGAGCAACAATGGAGAAAACACCGAAGGGGATGGACGTGAGGGGGACAGCTTTGAGGGGAGGAGCTAGGTGGGGGAGTCTGAGTGTCGGACGGCCTGCCAAAGTCTGCCGTATCATATCACGAATTGCGATCACTTTTATTACAGCAGCTGCCTGACCATGCGTTACGTGGTGTAAAACAACTCATTGATTCAATTTTCGGAATCCGATACCATGCGTAAAGCGTTGCCTGACCGCCTCGTCACGTACAACGCTAGTGCAGTCGACCATGCTTTATGGGATTGAGGTTAATTCAAGGGGTCTTTGTTTGGTTTTCTTGTGGCAGGTTCCTTCCGGCGGCAGGTTGCGCCCCCAACTTGCGCGTGGTAACGGTTGGGCGTCTCAAGATCCTAGGCGGAGGTGACACAGCTGGGGTAATCGGTGGTTGGGGACGGTATCCGCTTGCCATATGGGTCTTGAGTTGTTGAGTGTTACAATAAACATGGTTTTAGGATGCTTGTTGGGTAATCAATTAGTAAACATAGCCATGAGGCCGTGCAACACGTGTGTCCAATGGCCACTCTTGTGGCTGACGGTTTCAGCTAGCCCCCTTCTGCCTAGAGTATTTATGCATATGAGTCTTGTGTTCCTGCTTGTGCCTTCTCCAAACCTACTAAACCTAGCATGGTGTGCCGGACAATGTGCAAGGTCCACTGACCCTCGTACTTGTAATATGTTGTCGGCAGCCGAATTATAGAATAACAAACACGGCTCTTAGTGCAGTCAAGAGGGGAAGCTCCAAACACACCCATAGGAAGCCATGGCTCCTCCCGTACATTGTGCGTTCGTCCTCCCCGTGTCTCCCACCTTCCCCCAACTTGCCTACCCCCTGTCATTCTCCCTTGACCATTCTCCCCACATCCCCCCTCCAACCACCCTATGTTCACCCTGCAGACTGCTCAAATTCCAACGTCCAGGCACCCTCCATCCTCCCATGCAGTCAGCCCAAGTTCCTCCGCTTCTCTCCTCCTCTGATCCTCTACTCCTCCGCTCCTCTGCTCCTCCACTCCTCTACCCCTCTGCTCCTCTCCTCCTCCGCTCATGTCCTCCGCTGCTCCTCTGCTCCTCCGCTCCCCTCCTCCTCCACTCCTCTGCTCCTCCCCTCCGCTGCTCCTCCGTTCCTCTGCTCCTCCGCTTCTCTGCTCCTCCGCTCCTCTGCCCCTCCGCTCCTCTCCTCCTCTGCTCCTCTCCTCCGCCGCTCCTCTGCTCCTCTGCTCCTCTGCTCCTCTCCTCCTCCGCTCCTCTCCTCCTCCGCCCCTCTCATCCGCCGCTCCTCTCCTCCTCCGCTCCTCTGCTACTCCGCTCTTCTGTTCCTCCCAATCCTCTGCTCCTCCGCTCCTCTGCTCCTCCGCTCCTCTGCCCCTCTGCTCCTCTTCTCCGACGCTCCTCTCCTCCTCCACTCCTCTCCTCCTCCGCTTCTCTGCCCCGCCGCTCCTCTGCTCCGCCCCTCCTCTCCTCCTCCACTCCTCTGCTCCGCCGCTCCACTCATCCTCTGCTCCTCTGCTCCTCCGCTCCTCTGCCCATCTGCTCCTCTCCTCCTCCGCTCCTCTCCTGCTCCGCTTGTCTGCTCCGCCGCTCCTCTCCTCCTCCGCTCCTCTGCTCCGCCCCTCCTCTCCTCCTCCACTCCTCTCCACCTCCACTCCTCTTCTCCACCGCTCCTCTCCTCCTCCACTCCTCTGCCCCTCCGCTCCTCCGCTTCTCTGCTCCCCTGCTCCTCTCCTCCTCCGCTCGTCTGCTACTCCGCTCGTCTCTGCCTCCCGCTCCTCTGCTCCGACACTCCTCTCCTCCTCCACTACTCTGCTCCTCCGCTCCTCTGCTCCTTCGCTCCTCTGCTCCTCCGCTCCTCTGCTCCTCCGCTCGTCTGTTCCTCCCGCTCCTCTGCTCCTCTGCTCCTCTGCCCCTCTGCTCCTCTCCTCGGACGCTCCTCTCCTCCTCCGCTCCTCTCCTCCTCCGCTTGTCTGCTCCGCCGCTCCTCTGCTCCGCCGCTCCTCTCCTCCTCCGCTCCTCTCCTCCTCCCCTCCTCTTCCACCGCTCCTCTCCTCCGCCGCTCCTCTGCCCCTCTGCTCCTCTCCTCCAACGCTCCTCTGCTCCTCTGCTCCTCTCCTCCTCCGCTTTTCTGCTCCGCCGCTCCTCTGCTCCGCCGCTCCTCTCCTCCTCCGCTCCTCTCCACCTCCACTCCTCCTCTCCTCCGCTCCTCTCCTCCTCCGCTCCTCTCCTCCTCCGCTTGTCTGCTCCGCCGCTCCTCTGCTCCGCCCCTCATCTCCTCCTCCACTCCTCTCCTCCGCCGCTCCTCTCCTCCTCCTCTCCTCTCCTCCTCCGCTCCTCCTCTCCTCTGCTCCTCTCCTCCTCCGCTCCTCTCCTCCTCCGCTTGTCTGCTCCGCCGCTCCTCTGATCCGCCACTCCTCTCCTCCTCCGCTCCTCTCCTCCGCCGCTCCTCTCCTCCTCCGCTCCTCTCCTCCTCTGCTCCTCTGCCCCTCCGCTCCTCCGCTCCTCTGCTCCCCTGCTCCTCTTCTCCTCCGCCGCTCCTCTCCTCCTCCGCTCCTCTGCTACTCCGCTCCTCTGCTACTCCGCTCCTCTCCTCTTCCGCTCCTCTCCACCTCCGCTCCTCCGCTCCTCCGCTCCTCCGCCCCTCTGCTCCCCTGCTCTTCTCCTCCTCCGCCGCTCCTCTCCTCCTCCGCTCGTCTGCTACTCCGCTCGTCTCTGCCTCCCGCTCCTCTGCTCCGACGCTCCTCTCCTCCTCCACTACTCTGCTCCTCTGCTCTGCTGCTCCTCCGCTCCTCTGCTCCTCCGCTCCTCTGCTCCTCCGATCCTCTTCTCCTCCGCTCCTCTGTTCCTCCCGCTCCTCTGCTCCTCCGCTCCTCTGCCCCTCTGCTCCTCTCCTCCAATGCTCCTCTCCTCCTCCGATCCTCTCCTCCTCCGCTTGTCTGCTCCGCCGCTCCTCTGCTCCGCCACTCCTCTCCTCCTCCGCTCCTCTCCTCCGCCGCTCCTCTCCTCCCCCGCTCCTCCTCTCCTCCGCTCCTCTCCTCCTCCGCTCCTCTCCTCCTCCGCTCGTCTGCTCCGCCGCTCCTCTGCTCCGCCCCTCCTCTCCTCCTCTGCTCCTCTGCTCCCCTGCTCCTCTCCTCCTCCGCCACTCCTCTCCTCCTCCGCCGCTCCTCTCCTCCTCCGCTCGTCTGCTACTCCGCTCCTCTCTGCCTCCCGCTCCTCTGCTCCGATGCTCCTCTTCTCCTCCACTACTCTGCTCCTCCACTCCGCTGCTCCTCCGCTCCTCTGCTCCTCTGCTCCTCTGCTCCTCCGATTCTTTGCTCCTCCGCTCCTCTGTTCCTCCCGCTCCTCTGCTCCTCCGCTCCTCTGCCCCTCTGCTCCTCTCCTCCGACGCTCCTCTCCTCCTCCGATCCTCTCCTCCTCTGCTTGTCTGCTCCGCCGCTCCTCTGCTCCGCCCCTCCTCTCCTCCTCCGCTCCTCTCCTCCGCCTCTCCTCTCCTCCTCCTCTCCTCTCCTCCTCCGCTCCTCTGCCCCTCCGCTCCTCCGCTCCTCTGCTCCTCTGCTCCCCCGCTCCTCTCCTCCTCCGCCGCTCCTCTCCTACTCCGCTCCTCTGCTACTCCGCTCCTCTTCTCCAACGCTCCTCTCCTCCTCCGCTGCTCTGCTCCTCTGCTCCTCTGCTCCTCCGCTCCTCTGTTCCTCCGCTCCTCTGCTCCTCCGCTACACTGCTTCTCTGCTCCTCTCTTCCTCGGCTCCTCTCCTCCTCCGCTACTCTGCTCCTCCGCTCCTCTGCTCCTCCACTCCTCTGCTCCTCCGCTCCTCTGCTCCTCCGCTCCTCTGTTCCTCCCGCTCCTCTGCTCCTCCGCTCCTCTGCTCCTCCGCTCCTCTCCTCCTCCGCTTGTCTGCTCCGCCGTTCCTCTGCTCCGCCGCTCCTCTCCTCCTCCGCTCCTCTCCTCCTCCGCCCCTCTCCTCCCCCGCCCCTCTCTTCCGCCGTTCCTCTCCTCCGCCGCTCCTCTGCCCCTCTGCTCCTCTCCTCCGACGTTCCTCTGCTCCTCTGCTCCTCTCCTCCTCCGCTTCTCTGCCCCGCCGCTCCTCTGCTCCGCCGCTCCTCTCCTCCTCTGCTCCTCTCCTCCTCCGCTCCTCCTCTCCTCCGCTCGTCTCCTCCTCCGCTCCTCTCCTCCTCTACTTGTCTGCTCCGCCGCTCCTCTGCTCCGCCGCTCCTCTCCTCTTCCGCTCCTCTCCTCCGCTGCTCCTCTCCTCCTCCTCTCCTCTCCTCCTCCGCTCCTCTGCCCCTCCGCTCCTCCACTCCTCTGCTCCCCCGCTCCTCTCCTCCTCCGCCGCTCCTCTCCTTCTCCGCTCCTCTGCTACTCCGCTCCTCTCCTCCGACGCTCCTCTCCTCCTCCGCTACTCTGCTCCTCTGCTCCTCTGCTCCTCCGCTCCTCTGTTCCTCCGCTCCTCTGCTCCTCCGCTATGCTGCTCCTCCGCTCCTCTCCTCCTCGGCTCCTTTTCTCCTCCGCTACTCTGCTCCTCCGCTCCTCCGCTCCTCCGCTCCTCTGCTCCTCCACTCCTCTGCTCCTCCGCTCCTCTGTTCCTCCCGCTCCTCTGCTCCTCCGCTCCTCTGCCCCTCTGCTCCTCTCCTCCGACGCTCCTCTCCTCCTCCGCTCCTCTCCTGCTCCGCTTGTCTGCTCCGCTGCTCCTCTGCTCCGCCGCTCCTCTCCTCCTCCGCCCCTCTCTTCTGCCGCTCCTCTCCTCCGCCGCTCCTCTGCCCCTCTGCTCCTCTCCTCCGACGCTCCTCTCCTCCTCCGCTCCTCTCCTGCTCCGCTTGTCTGCTCCGCCGCTCCTCTGCTCCGCCGCTCCTCTCCTCCTCCGCTCCTCTCCTCCTCCGCTCCTCCTCTCCTCCGCTCCTCTCCTCCTCCACTCCTCTCCTCCTCCGCTTGCCTGCTCCGCCGCTCCTCTGCTCCGCCCCTCCTCTCCTCCTCCGCTCCTCTCCTCCGCCGCTCCTCTCCTCCTCCGCTCCTCTCCTCCTCCGCTCCTCTGCCCCTCCGCTCCTCCGCTCCTCTGCTCCCCCGCTCCTCTCCTCCTCCGCCGCTCCTCTCCTCCTCCGCTCCTCTGCTACTCCGCTCCTCTCCTCCTCCGCTCCTCTCCACCTCCGCTCCTCTCCTCCGCCGCTCCTCTCCTCCTCCGCTCCTCTGCCCCTCCGCTCCTCCGCTCCTCCGCTCCTCTGCTCCCCTGCTCCTCTCCTTCTCCGCCACTCCTCTCCTCCTCCGCTCGTCTGCTACTCCGCTCCTCTCTGCCTCCCGCTCCTCTTCTCCGACGCTCCTCTCCTCCTCCACTACTCTGCTCTTCCGCTCCTCTGCTCCTCCGCTCCTCTGCTCCTCCGATCCTCTGCTCCTCTGCTCCTCTGTTCCTCCCGCTCCTCTGCTCCTCCGCTCCTCTGCCCCTCTGCTCCTCTCCTCCAACGCTCCTCTCCTCCTCCGCTCCTCTCCTCCTCCGCTTGTCTGCTCCGCCACTCCTCTGCTCCGCCCCTCCTCTCCTCCTCCGCTCCTCTCCTCTGCCGCTCGTCTCGTCCTCCGCTCCTCTGCTCCTCCGCTCCTCTGCTCCTCCGCTCCCCCGTTCCTCTCCTCCGCCGCTTCTCTCCTTCTCCGCTCCTCTGCTACTCCGCTCCTCTCCTCCGACGCTCCTCTCCTCCTCCGCTACTCTGCTCCTCTGCTCCTCTGCTCCTCCGCTCCTCTGTTCCTCCGCTCCTCTGCTCCTCCGCTACGCTGCTCCTCCGCTCCTCTCCTCCTCGGCTCCTCTCCTCCTCCGCTACTCTGCCTCCGCTCCTCTGCTCCTCCGCTCCTCTGCTCCTCCGCTCCTCTGCCCCTCTGCTCCTCTCCTCCGACGCTCCTCTCCTCCTCCGCTCCTCTCCTCCGCTTGTCTGCTCCGCCGCTCCTCTGCTCCGCTGCACCTCTCCTCCTCCGCTCCTCTCCTCCTCCGCCCCTCTCTTCCACCGCTCCTCTCCTCCGCCGCTCCTCTGCCCCTCTGCTCACCATACTCCTCCGCTCCTCTGTTCCTCCGCTCCTCTGCCCCTCTGCTCCTCTGTTCCGACGCTCCTCTGCCCCGCCGCTCCTCTCCTCCTCCGCTCCTCTGCTCCGCCGCTCCTCTTCTCCTCCGCTCCTCTGCTACTCCGCTCCTCTCCTCCGCCGCTCCTCTGCTACTCCACTCCTCTGCTCCTCCGCTCCTCTCCTCCTCCGCTCCTCTGCTCCTCTGCTCCTCTGCTCCTAGGCAGACTGAAAAGCACGAGGGAGAATGAGTAATGAAACCGCATGGGCTGTGGGTACCTTTCATGCATGTTACTAACCCTAACTCCCTCGTCGCACTGCTCGAGCTCGTCGCACGCGTTTCTGCTGTAGGGTCTCGGGCTGTTAGTGGCGCGGATTTCGGCGACCATTTTTTATGGTCCGAGGGTAGAAATCGCAGGGTACTGCGGGTGTTAGCGACGGTGCGATTTGACGGTCCTTACATGGCATTCACGGGAATGCTAAGGCGGGGCTAGTGGTCATGAGTCTGTCTTTTGGTGGAAGGTAGTCTATCTTTGGCGTATCGTCGAGGCCCTTTGCGTGTCTTGGGCACTCGGTGGTGCACAGAGGTGGTAAGCTGTGTGTGCTGCGTACGCTGCCTTGGGCGTGGTGACGCTGGGCTGGGTTGTGCACAACAGAAAGTCCCAAAATGTATGCGCGCTGTTTCAAGTTTCATTGCGTGCAAACGCCCTGTGTGTCAGGGGCGGGGCGGAATCGGAAGGGGGTGGCGCACGCGTGTTAAAATTTTCAGCCCCCTTTTGGTGTGCAATGAAGGTTTCTGCTCTCGCTTTGGGGAACAAGGTTACCAATCGGGAGGGTTCAAGATTAATAATCTTGAAACGAAATTTATGCAATTTGGGTCAACGGCTTTAAGGGGATCACAATTGGGTGAGGTTGGGATTTGTGAGTACACCCCAATCCACTAGAACATTCCTAACCTAAACAAGGATATAAAAGAACAAATATAGAAGTGGGATTTGCAATCTATTTCTAACACACCCCCATAGACTGCAAACCCGTCAAGGAGCACATAGCCCCATGGAACGGAGAAGGCGATGGTGGTCAGCCTTGCCGAGAGCCTTGGTAAAGAGGTCGGCGAGGTTGCAATATGAGGCAATGTACTATACTTATGGCTTGCACTCGGCTTGTCGTCCTTGTTTGTGTGTGTGCATGCATGGCATGGAATGAATTGTGAGTCTATGTCATTGCTATCCAGTGCTTGTGTGTGTGTTTGAATGGTGTATCACAATGTGGTTTGTGTCGGTCAAGACATTAGCGAGTTTTTACAACTTGCATGTCAAGTCGTCGTTTGTGTGTCGCATGTTATTTTTCTATTTTGTCGAGTGTGAAGTGTCCATCGCGTCGCAGGTGTGTGCAGCAAGCCCCCATCAACTCAAGAAGAATTTATCTTGCAGATCCAAGACCAAGAGCTCAAGATTTCAAGCCCAAGGGACGATGATAAATATTAAATAGTGAAAATAGTAACGCTACTTCGTATAGTGTTACATTTCACTTGGTGTAGCCCCTTGGAGGGTTGGTTTCAAGACTCTTCGTGGTTGGGGACTCTGTGGTGGTGTACCACCAACCTGGACCTCGGCTCTTGGGGTATGTAGAGGCTGGGAACCATCTCCATCTCGAATTCTTCTTGCTAAGTTTGTATTTCCAAGACTATAGTGGCTGCTATACCTCCTGCCAGTCAAACCGCCATAGCGTCGTCAAATATTCATGGAATTTTATGATTCAACTTGCTGCTCATAGGCGACAGCAAGGCGCTCCATATCCAATTTACAGATGACCGTTTCAGGCACACATCAGATCGGCATCAATATTTGAAGCTGTCTGACGGAATTCTGACTGTGCACAATTTCTCTCATTTTAGGCACATCTGAGCCTATTGTGATTATAACAAGTGGTATCAGAGCCCCTTGGAGCCATCTCGACCATGCCTAGACCTGGGGAAGAGGGTGGCAGAGGTGCTGGAGGCAGAGAAGACGCCCAAGCACAAGGTCAACACCAAGATCCACCCATGGCTCCCGTGCAACCTAGCCTTGGCCCCTCTAGGGATGAGCCTAGAGTGTTTGGCCTTGACAAGTTCAACGGTGACAACTTTGCTGAGTGGTCCTTCAAGATGGAGAACATCTTTGACCACTATGATCTGCTGGAGGTGATGGAAGGAACGGAGAAGCGCCCCGAGAACGACCCGGAGAAGAGCCCGTGGGTGCGGAAGAGCGCACAAGGCTACCTTCTACTTGGGCAAGCATTGGGGAGCAGCCAAATCCGTCACATCAAGCCTTTTCAGCGTGAACCAGCAAATAGACCAAAGGCATGGGCTGCTCTCAAGGGTATACACGCTCCTGCAACAGCGGCGGTGGCTGTGGTTTTGGAGCGGCAAATGGCGGCACTTCGAATTGAAGAAGGCGAACCGGTGGAGGAAGGAGTGCAGAAATTCTTCGACTTGTTGACACGGCTCGAAGGAGCTGATCTGAACTACAGTGACCTTCAAAAGAAGACCAAGCTGCTGGCCTTACTTCCAGACTCATGGTCCTCGCTCATCATCAACCTAAATCGAGATCTGCCCCGTCTCTCACTCGAAGATGTGAAGCGGGAAATCTTACAAGAAGATTTCCGCCGTCGCGAATTGGCGGGTCCTGATGGTGCCAGAGTTGCAAGCATGGGCCGTGGGCACGGCCGTGGAAGGGGCAGAGGGCGAGGAGGAAGATTTGGCAACAGTAACTTCAATGGAGGCTGTGGTAATGGAGGATATGGCAGCAACAACAACAGCAACCGCCCAAACGCCCCTACACCACCTGCTCAACCGCCTGGAAGCGGCACTCCCCAAACCTGCACAGTCCAGACTCACCCGCCCGCGCGACAAACCTGGCGCCAAGCTCCAGCATGCCCTAGCATTGGAGGTGCACGGGGCCAGGCATGCACGGCTAGTGGCAGACTCCAGACACATGCCACTCAACCCCCTCCTGGGTCACACCCAGCGCCTCCTCTCCCTGCTTGGGCCAGGGGCAGGGGACTGGCTAGTCGCCATCCCCTTCTCCCCGGACCTGAGCATGAGCAAGGGGCAATTTGCCACGGCCCTAGCCTTCCGCATGGTCCTGCAGCACTCCCTACCCGGCAAATGCAACTGCCGGGAAAAGCATGCGATACCAGACAACCGGCTGCCCAACCACATGCTACGATGCACCCTGGGCGGGGGTCCAAAGCGGACCCACGACGCACTCGTGAACCTCAGGATGCGACTGGCCCGAGAATCCCACTTCGTGGCCCACATGGAATCCACGCTCTACTTACCCGAAACTGCCCAACGCCGCGCCGACATCACCCTCCAATGCCCGGACTCAGGCGCGGTATGGGTCTGTGACATCACAGTCACCGACCCCATCTCAATCCGTGACCCAACAGCACGAAAAGGGACGGGGTGGATGGCGGCAGAGATGCAGGGCAAGAAGCGGGACCTGTACGGCGAACGCCTCACCTTTGTGAAGGTGCTGGGAGTCGCCACTGAGACATACGGCTGCTGCTCCCCCGATACACTCGAGTTCCTCCGAGTGCTGGCTGCCCTCTCAGCCAGCCGGAACCACCAGGCCGACGAAAATACAGTAGTGGGAAAGAAGGTGCTGCACAGCTATCGTCAGAGGTGGTCAGTCACCCTCCAGCGGCAGCAGGCAATCACCCTCCATGCGAAAATTGGCCAGGTGACAGGCCAAGTTTTCAGCCACGACCGCCCCCTAGACGAACCCCTTACCTGGGGAGAACTTGAAGCCACCATTGAACCTACCTGCGACAGGTGGCCCGGGCAGCAGTAGGATGCTCGGGGACACCAGGACATACATAACCCTGTTTGTACCTCTGTACCCCTTATAAACATAATTAAGGACCGCTTGAGAGAGAGAGATAAAGCGGCAGGCAAGGATGGGGAGAAAGGTGGGCAACAGAGGGGAAAACGATGGGCAAGGAGGGAGGAGACGGCGGGCAAGGAGGTGGAAAAGGCCGGTTAGGAGGGGGAAACGACGGTTTCAAACGAGGGGAAACGGTGGGCAAAGGAGAGGGGAAACAGCGGGCAAAGGAGGGGAAAACGGCGGGCAAAGGAGAGGGGAACGGTGGGCAAAGGAGGTGGAAACGGCGGGCAAAGGAGGTGGAAACGGCGGGCTAGGAGGGGGAAACGGTGGGCAAAGGAGAGGGAAATGGAGGGCAAAGGAGGGGGAAACGGTGGGCTAAAGAGGGGGTGACGGCGGACGAGGAGGTGGAAACGACCGGCTAGGAGGGGGAAACGGCGGGCAAATGAGAGGGGAAACGGCGGGCTATGAGGGGGAAACGGCGGGCCAGGAGAGGGAAACGAGGGGGAGACGGCGGACAAAGGAGGGGGAGACGGCGGGCAAAGGAGAGGGGAAATGACGGGCAAAGGAGGGGGGAATGCCGGGCAAGGAGGGGGAAACGGCCGGCTAGGGAGGGGGAAACGACGTGCAAAGGAGAGGGGAAACAGCAAGCAAAGGAGGGGGAAACGGCGGGCAAAAAGGAGGGGGGAATGGCGGGCAAAGGAGGTGGAAAGGCTTGCTAGGAGGGGGAAACGGCGGGCAAAGGAGAGGGAAACCGCAGACAAAGGAGGGGGAAATGGCGGGCTAGAAGTGGGAAACGGCGGGCTATGAGGGGGAAACGGCAGCCAAAGGAGGGGGGAACGGCGGGCAAAGGAGGGGGGAATGGCTGGCAAGGAAGTGGAAACAGCGGGCTAGGAGGGGGAAACGGCGGGCAAAGGAGGGGGGAACGACAGGCAAAGGAGGGCGGAACGGCAAGCAAAGGAGGGGGGAAACAGCGGGCAAAGGAGGGGGGTTGCGACGGGCAAGGATGGTGGGCAACAGAACTGTAGGGATGAATGACCTAGCAGCTAGGTCGAAATAGGCCGCGGCTATTAAGTCGACTTAGTAGCTGCTAGGCCGATATGGGCCACAGCCCTTGAAATCGACCCAG